GAGACAATGGCATCCAACTAGCTTGGATGTCTCAGGTATCACTGATGATCTCTTGTCTAGTTTGTTTAATGATAGTCTTCATATATCCATGCCTAAGTTTATTAATCATGTTTCTAAGTCTTTAATGAGAAAGCATCCCTCTCCTCATTAGATTGAGAGCTCTTGGGTTTGAGGGTTCATTAGTACTTATGTGCCAAATGAACCCTTTTACCGAACTACGAGGCGTTTGATCCCCTGTACCCCTTTGTTGTATCTTTGTGTTTTGGGGTACGTAGGCAGCTTGTCACTCCGGTTGATAAGTGCAATGCCAGTTATATATAAGTCTTACTTTGTGTACTGCTTATATTTATATACAGCGCTTCACGATCATATGCTAAGTGTTTCAGGTTACAGGAAGATGATGTGCTGATAGTTAATCTCTTAAGCCAGTCTCTTTGTGATATGAAAAGATTCCCCGAGTTGGTTATGCATTCCTATCATGATCGCGGCTTAAGTAAGGTTTTTGTTGTTTTTGCTTCTGTAAGTACATTGATCCATTTATTCAAAAATATGATAAGTGTGAGTGAACATCAATGGAAGTGGTCGGCATGTTATTGACGCGAGTGAAAATCACGTGTATCTTTGTGGTTGGCGTTGTCAATGGCATGAATGGAGATCATGTTAATTCCTGTGTGATGGGCACACTTAATGTGTTTTTGAATTGATGATATCAATGTGTTTCTGGAGTCCTTCCTTGTTATCCTGTGTGTTTATATGTTTGGCTTCACATGCGTATGTTACATGTTATATCTTGTTCCATGTGTTTGCCATGCCTTGCATGGGTTGATCTTTTTATTCCGCATCTTTATCCTAAGTATATCTTTATTAGTATCTGTTTGTCTCAGTTTCATCAGTTGGGGGTGATCTTTGCTAGTAAGTTTTAATATAGACTATTCACCCCCCCCCCTCTAGTGTTTGGGCACCATTGTGTAGGAATAATATAAATAACATAGGTTACAGTCAAGTGATTTCATAAGTCCATATGCGGATTGTCCGCAGGAGAGCCTGTTTGTATAAAGAAATAACTTAGAGAATATAAGATGATTTTAATCAATTGAAATATAAGGTATTTTGTACTATTTTTATTTTAATATGGAAGATATGATGTTGATAGAAAAAAGAAGATAGTTAAATTAAAATGGAATGAATGCATGCATGTATAATTATGAACATTTATAATTAGGGCCCATATAATAATTAAAAGTGAGAAGACGAATATACCCAAATTGAACTCAAATAGTTTTCAATTATGCTATCAATTTTGGTGATTTAGGAAAGAAATATTTTCTTTTGGGTAGTTTCTTGTATAATATAGAAGTATGATATAATAGATCACAAAAAAGAAAGTCCATTATAACAAGTTCGATACTAACCTAAACATGTTATTCAATCTAGAGGGTTTACTTCTGCGCATAGTCAGATAATTTATAGATCACCAAAAAGATTGGATAGACATATAGAGATAGAATAGTTACCTTTAACACTTCATCAACCACTTCACGGTTTAAGTTTCTGGAGACAAAACTTGCAACAATCATTGAATCATGTAAGGACCTAAATGTTTGATCAAGAATAAAGAACATAAAAATTACTATAAGAAATATGCATTACTGGGTTATCATAGTAATGCAGTTGCTAAACTATGATAGAATACTTCTTGTTAGACGTAAACAAACTGAGTAATTAATTGAAGTACATATTGGGTAATTACCTAGAGGTCTTTGTGCTTACTTCTATAGTTCATGGATTCAGATGTGTATTTCTTTTTTCATTTGATCCATTGAGTCCATTATAGCTCTCCATATCTCTTTAATTATCAGCTTTACTGATCGGTACCCCACTAGAATATACATATAGATATCTATTTGTTGCATAAACTACCTATTTTGTGTCAAAACCTCGGTGGTTTCTTAAATCCTTGGGATGACGAGTAAATCTACAAATTTGTCCACTGAATTTTTATTATATCTACACAAACAATTGTTATTAGAGCATCTCCAATGCTAATGTGAGTTAGTATAAAAATGAGTTCCATGTAGGATTAATTAATAGACATTAATACATAAAAACTCTCTCCAATGCAAACTTCCAAATGTACCATGAGTTTGATGTGGCATAATTTAAAATAGACCTTGTGAGATTGAAAGTCTGAAATCCGACTTTGAATCTCACAATGTGAGTTTAGCTTAGTCAGCAAAAGAGTTATTATTTCTATTTAAAAAATCAATTTTCTATAATAAAAACACTTTTTATTTCCTTAAAATAAGGAATTAAGATACAAATTTATTAATTTTTGTTTAACACATCACATACAGGTTTGTTTTCACACTCTAGCATTGGAGATAAAATTTTTTATTGGTTATATTTTAGTGCCACATAGGATTCACACCCTCATATATTCTATAAAACTCACATTATAACTCACTATAGCATTGGAGATGCTCTTAGGTTCAAGTACAACAGAACCACAGAAAACAATGCTTAGCTTAACCAATACTATAACCAAAGAAAGACCAATTGAGACAAACAAACAAATTTGGTTACATTGTGGAACCAAGTTTCGAGTGATGCTGGAAGTTTATATACTGGGTGTCGGTGACAATATCGGGAGTATATTTAGAGCATAGTCATTATCGCATGAGCACCAGGTGTATGCCTAAATTTAAATGTTTTTTGCCATTATGACTTCCAAACCTCTACTTTTATTCTTATGTTAATTTTATTTTACTTAAATATTGTTTTTATACTTGGTTGGAATTAACTTTTTCTTTGCTTATTTGAATATTGAGGAACTTGATTCTTGAAGAAAAAAAAAGGTTTTTAATATGTATAGTTAATTTATAGAACTACAAGCTCATGTGTTTTGAACATAAATATGACATTTAACATAGTGGATATTATGCACTGCATAATAAGCTAGAGTAGCACAACTGGTTAGAACATGTGCCATCTAAAGCACAAGATCAAAGGTTCATGCCCTTCCTCTAACATCTTCATATTTTTAGTGTATAACAACGTCACATTCATAACTCACTGCATAATTAGTTTGATCAAGATTAGAAAATTTAACATCGTTTCCTCTATATAGTGGCATAAGATTTACCCTAAGGAGACTTGATTCCCTTTTTTCTTTCCATATTTTTTGCTTGATAACATTTTCCCATATTCCCAAGAATTCTTTGTTTCTTCATTGATTGAACCATTAACTGTTTTTTTTTTAAAGAACGTCCATATCCATTTTTTAATACGATAGGGTTATGATCCTCATCATTCGAATAGACTAGAACGAAAAGAGCCTCCTCAGAAGGCAATCCAGCTGAGGCCTTACATACGCTCATGATCAGTTTTGTCTATTCTCTTCGAAAACTCTTGAACAACATCAACCAGGCCTCTAACCTATCCATTATGTACGAAATCAAGATATTAACATTAACATAAAAAGAACTTCCCTAATCAGAAGTAATTCTAAAAATAAAGATACTTGGTAACACATCATGACATGTAGTACAAGTTTCCGTCTGCTTGAAATGAAGTAATTCTAAAAATAAAGATACTTGTGATATACTTATTTAT